CCACTTTATTTTCAGTTTCTGGGCCACATGTGATAACGTCCTTTGTTAAAGGAAAAACAGAATTGATTTAAAGCTGCAGAAACAAAACAAAACAAAAACAAAAAAAGAAAAGAGAAAAAGTATATACATATTAACCAAAGCTTTGGTTCCTCCTGTATGTAGTCTATTTTAAAAATAAATAAATAAATAAAAGATTGTTAACTTTTAATATGGAAAAGCTTGTGAGATACTGAGCTCTAGTGCCACCACAAACTTTGTTGTTACCTGCCCTCAAGCCAGTTCCAATTTATGGCGACCCTGTGGATGAGGCATCTCCAACAATCTCTGCAACTCCTTTCCCATAATCCCCCTGATTGAGTCTATCCATCTGGTTTGTGGCCTTCCTCTCATTCTTCTACCCTCTACCTTTCCTAGCAGTATGTTTTTTTCTAGTTATCTCTGCCTTCTCATTATGTGGCCAAAGTACGATAGTCTCAACTTGATCATCTTTGCTTCCAAGGAGAGCCCTGGTCTGATCTGTTCAAGAACCCATTTGTTTGTCTTCTTGGCTGTCCATGCTATCCTAAGTACTCTTCTCCAGCACCACATTTCAAATGAGTTGATTTTCTTTCTGTCTGCTTCTTTCGCTGTCCAGCTCTCACATCTGTACATGGTAATTGGGAATACAATGGCCTGAACGATTGTGACTTTAGTGCTCAGTTGTATGTCTTTGCTCTTCAGTATCTTTTCCAGTTCTTTCATAGCTGTCCTTCCCTTTCCTAGTCTTTTTATTTTTTGACTGCAGTCTCCATTCTGGTCAATGTTGGATCCTAGATATGGGAATTCTTTGACTATTTCTATTTCTTCATTGTCTAGGGTTGAACTTGTGAAGCTCCTCGGTCCCATAGCCTCCTTCTTCTTATTTCTTGAGTGCAGTCTCCATTCTGGTCTATGGACGTTATCACACGGGGGCAAATCTGCTGGTTAATCCACACAAATCCCAAACAGAAACGGGATTTGTGCCCCACGTTTTCACACGACATTGCATAGAAATGGGACAGAAATTGGTGTTAACCGAGATCTTTTGAAATTCGGTTGTTTGGAGGAAATGCAAATGCGAAATTAAGGTAATTTCGCATTTACCGTAATGTGAAAAGCAAATGTGCATTTGGGAGCATTTCCCTGCTTTTCCCGTGGTTCCAGCGAGCATTCCTCTATCTGCGCATGTGCAAGAAGCTCATTTCTAGTACATTTACGGGCTTTTCTCACTTGTGTGCGAACGTTAAATGCGCTTACTTTAATTTCGCAATTAAGGTAATTGCGTGTGAAAGCCATTTGCGGAATCAGGGTTTATTTTTCCGTTTATTTTCGGAACGCCTCATTTCCACTTTATTATCGCTTTCTGGCCCACGTGTGATAGATAACGTCCTAGGTCTCATCCTATAGTGATGGGAACTCTTTAACTCTTTCCGCGCGTTGTCTAGACTGAATGTGC